TAAAATGAAATGATAATGATTTTGTGACGAAACGATATGAAAAAATAAGATACATAGAAATGTGTATGGTACCAATTTTAGGATGGAATATTATAATTGAATACTTTTCCATGGAGATGCAATTGTTGTAATGTTGTGAAGTTGTAAACTTGTAATTTATGACTGTTTTTTAATTCCTTATTTATCCAACTAATCGTGTACCCGTGTTAGATATACTTCATTTGTCCTAAAATGAATGAAAAAATCTTTTAGAAATTAGTTCAAATAGGACTAAAACTATGACAAAAATCTAAAATAAGACTTGCTATGTTTTTATTCCAAAATAGGACCATATGAGTCCTATTGGAAACATACCTATTTTTGCATTCCATTCTTACCCTTCTATTAAATATGAATTAAAAATAGTCAAAAGCCATAATTAAATGTTTAATTCATAATAAATTCGAAAAAAATTCAAAAATTCGTAGAAATATAATTAAAAAATTTATAAATTTTTCTAAAATAAAAAATTCAAAAACTTTTTTTTTAAAAATAATTTTATTTTTAAAAAAATTAATAAAAAATAGTAAAACTCCATAAAAAAAATTCAAAAAATATGGATGCCTTTCCCACCGCCTGTACTACCTCCCAGCACCACCATCTCCGGTCTATGAAAAAAATGCCATTTTCCCAGAAAAATGCCATTTTTTTTCTGAAACTGCCAAAAAAAGACATATTTCTCTTTTCGAATGCCAACATTTTCATTTTTTTCTGCCATAAATATGGCATTCGTAATGAACTTGGCATTTTTTCTCCTGGTGACTGGAGGTGGTGGTGCTGAGGCGGCAAAGGTGGCGGCGATTTTTTTTTTGAGTTTTTATTTTTTTTATTAATTTTTTTTAATTTTTTTAATTTTTTGAAAAAAAAAATTAATTAAATTTTTAATATCGAAATGTTTTTCTTAATATTTTAGTATTTTTTACGAATTTTTATTATTTTTTATTATTTTAGGAATTAAAACATTTTAATAGCTATAAGGGTATAATTGTCCAAGGTACACAAAATTAGTCCTATGCAAACATAGTTTATTTTTTGGTCCTATTTGTGAAAAGTGAATGACTTTTAGTCCTATTTTGATAATTAACTCAAAATCTTTTTTGTCAACGGAGTTTCATCTTATTTACTCACCTTTAATATCAATTTTTATTACGGAGTATTTCTTAGGGAAAATGATCAAAACACTTCTACTATTGGCAATTCATTATTTAAACCCTTCTATTAAAAGTGCAACATATAAATACACTTAGTTTTAAAATACAATCAATCAAGTCATTTTGACGTGTTATAGCTGGTTATATTTTAAAAATAAATTATGACTATTGATCATTATTATAAGAATTCGTATAAATTTTAAAACTAGTGTAATAATAATATAAAAAACTGTATAAATGTAAAAATAGATAAATAAGTCTAAAACGTTAAAATAAAAAGTAAAAATCAGAACTGAAAAACTGAAGTGAAAATGTAAAAAATATAAACTGAAAAGAGTAAAAATATTTTAAATAGATGTAGAATATAAAAATAATCTCAAAAATTTAAATATTTTGTGTTTTACATTGTGAATATTTTCACAATTTGCGCGCGCCCACACACACACACACACACACATATATATTTGCTCAAATTTTAGCAACTTTTTTTAGAGTTTTTTAATATAAAAGATTGCTATTACGTTTTTTAGTATATGAGTTTAAGTGATGGATTGCAAATAATAAAAGAGCTTATTTGACCTTTTTCCTTATTTCTTAATTTGGATTTTACGACTTAAAAGTTTAGTTATTAAATTTTATTTAATTATTTACAGGGGATATTAAACTTTATTATATATGAACTACCATAAAAATGAACTTTAAAAATCTCGAATTTCAAATCAGTATGCATGGGGAGGAAAAATTAAGTAAAAGCTAATTCCTTTTTGTCCAAATCCAAACAAAATTAATACGTCTTGAATCACACAAAAGTTAACAGTATGCTTTGAATAATCGACTGTCACATAATGAAACTATATGAATGAATACCTTATATGCTTTTGTGCGTATATAGGGATCAGAGAGTGTTGTTTTTAGACAAACACGATGGATATCTCAGAATGAGGAAATCGGCCTTAACATGGAATTATCTTTGGGATTTGAGCAAACAAAAATGATACTCGATCATGTGCCTCTTTCATTATCTTCGATCAACCTTCACTTCTGGAGATCCAAAGTACATTATTACACTATGTACGCACAAAAGACTACAGACAGTTTAGGTGGATTTTCATCAAAACTCAAAAGATTCAGCTTTTTCGGAAATGTGCAACTTTAATGTGCAAAAAAAGAGAGCAGCGATATGGTGTGAGAACCCTAGCGCCGCAGGTACTCATCACCGGCCTCATCCGTCGATCCCTCCGATGATATTGTTGGTGACATCCCTCTTGAAGATTCTTTGTAGAAGTATGATCCAATTTGACTATTCCTCATTTATTATTGTGTTTGTTCTATTCTAAGATGACTCTTTTCCGGGTACCGACTCTCCGGTGTGTTTTGTCTCCCTCGGTCATGTAGAGAGTTACTTTGTTGTCACGGCTAGCATCACGTGATCAAGAATTTCTATTTGTCTTGTTTTGGATGGTGTAGAGAATGGAAGAGACATAAAGATTGCTTTTGACTCCTCCTATTTCTATGTTTACATGGAATCAAGTAAGAAGAAGAATTTAGTGTTCACCCGTATTGAAGCAACTCGACCTCCTCTGGAACCACCTCTACGTGTCAAGAAGAGATTTGTGGAAAGGCTTTATTCAAGTATTCTTTTTTCTTTAGTAGTATTTGTTTTTATTTTCACTGGGGAAATGATGATGAATGAGGAGTACTTATTTTTATTTTAGTTCGAGTAGGTTTAATTTGAATATTTGGGGTTTTTGAATATATTTGATAGGCAGGGTTTCGGTTTCGATCGTGTTAGTATTATTCATTTCGTGTCTAGCGAGCCATGTGACTTCGTATGAGGTGATTGACTCTGTTTATTTCTAGGGCTTACGATCAGTTCTGAAATAACTCTGTCAATACGGTACTCTAGTAAATTATATGTGCTACATAAGTATTCCCTTATGGTTTGCTAGATATTGTCCTACTCGGTCCTTGGTGCCTCAACCACCACCGGTCCTTGGTGCCTCAACCACCACCGTTGGTCAACATTAGGGGTGGGCGTGGTTGGTTAACCGTGTTTTGGTTAACCAACTTTCCAGTTAACCGAGAAACCTATTACTTCGGTTAATCGAGTATCGGTTAATCAAAGCTTCAGTTAACCGAGTATCGGTTAACCAAAACTTCGGTTAACCACAAACCGGTTAACCAAAAACCATCAAACCATTGATTATATATATACACACACCATGTTCTTTCTATATTAATTAAGTCCAAACAAGAGAAAAATAAATTTTGAGAGTGGAATACAGGAAAAGATAAAATACATTTAATAAGAATAAACGTGTTCAATTGCTTCAAAAATAGAATACACATGTTCAAGTCTCACGATTGCAGAATGGGCTAATTAATTATAACTCACAAAAGCTTTGACTAATTATTAATAATATGAAATTAAAAATTCTATAGTGACAAACAAAATTTGGTTTCTTCACATGTTTATTAGAATTGATGTATCTAGATGTGTTGGATACATATTTATCTTTCCAAGTTCTCTGAGAACGTGAAGTTCATGACCAGACATGAACATACCGGTTATTGGTTAACCGATAATAACATATTTCTAAAACCGTAACCGTACCGCGAACCGTTTATTCTCACGGTTGGTTAACCGTACCGTGGATTTAAAAAATTGCGGTTCGGTTAACCGGGAAAACGGCGGTTTTCCGGTTTTTAGACGCGGTTATACAGTTACGGTTTTTTATGCCCACCCCTAGTCACCATTGGTGCCCCAGTAATACTTCTCTAGCCATATGATGGCTTATTGCCTAAACCCGCCCCTTCAAAATCAAAATTAGGAAAATACTTTGCCTTGAAAATTTTGCGGACCAAGAATAATCAATAAAAATGTGCTAAACTTGTTTCGCCAACATGACTACATTAAGTTCTCTAATGCATCAGAACCCTAAATCTTAAGCCTCTTTTGGCATACACATTATAATACTCGAGATTAGTTTAAAAAGGATTAGTATTACTATTCAAACCAACAAAGGTGCACCTTCTTTTAACAAGTTCATCTACTATGAACTCTGCAATTAAGAGAGCTTGTACGGGAGTCGTCATATAATGGATAACTCGTGGAAAGTTTCTCAGGGTGCGACGAGTGAGGATAAAGTGCATGGTAAAGACCACCGTATGTTTAGGAGGAAAGTACAAGGTCAGAAGAGCATTCAGGAGCAGTGACCTCGGCCACGCAGAGTCAGGGGTGTTACACACATATTTCTCCAGGATTTCCACCTCAAACTATTCATATTAAAGTCCTCTCACTTCCACCAATATTCATTCATGACTCTCTCAATTTCCTCACATCATTTTCTCAGGAAAATCGCATGTTCCGCTTTTGAAAGAAATATACTTTTCCAGTTCTAAATCCGATTCACCATGTGCACATCCCCTCTATCTTGCGCCTACTATTCATTGAGCTCAACCCTTTAATTTTGCCACCATGATAAACAAATAAGGTAATAACGGGTCACCCGGTCTCAACCCCCTTTGTGGATATATCAGGCTGAGTGTCTCTCTATCAAAAAGTAGAAATAAATAAATAAATAAATAAATAAATAAATAAATAAATAAATAAATAAATAAATACTGTTGCACTCAAAGTTTAAAGGAAAACATGAAGCTATTACTCCTTATTTTTTAGTTATTAGAATAGGACAAAATATGAAACTGGTCGGGAAGAGGGTTAAAGATTGTCGGGATTCCCACCCCGATTAGTACATATATACTGGAGTCTTAAACCAAAAAGTAAAAAAATGAAAGCATAAATGAGTGAGTAGGTTAGGGACAAAGAAGGAAAGCAAGTTGGCACAAGGGAAAAGGCCGGGGAATGCCAGTATCACAAGTGTTTCACTCCGTACTATATATTCATCAGACCTGAGAGAGAGAGAGATAGAGACAGAGCCAGAACACAAGAATTTAACAAACCTATCTTCTTCTTCTTCTCATTTCGAAGCTTTCAAATTTGTTCCCATTATCTGATCTGTGTCTAAAAAGAAGACAAACAAACAGAAATACAATCATGGCAACTAGGTCGTCGGAAATAGCTCCCCGGAACTGCGGGCGGAGGAAGACCAAAGCGGCGGTGAACGAGTCTGCAGCTGCGGCGGCAAGGAAGAAAAAGAAGCAGCCTCAGAGAGGTAAGGGCGTTGCTGAGCTTGAACGGCTCTTGAGAGACCCGAGCTTGAAGAAACTGACTGCGACGTCGTCCAACCCCACCCACCGTCATACCACCAACCTCGTCAATGTAACAGTACCTCCACTCTCCTCCGTCGTCTTCTCCCCGGCAGCCGCCGTGCCTGCGGCGGCAATGAGCAACGACGGCATTATTCGCGCTATGCCTCTTCACTTTCCCAAGCTTCTGAGCCCTTATGGCTGCTACAATTACGGGGAAATATTTCCTTCTTCTTATGCCCATCATCAGCATCATGATCTGTACGGATTCAGGGGGTGCTCTGCTCCTAATAATCCAAACCTTTTCAACGTGATCCATGAGAAGAACTCTAAAGACCTCTCTTCAGCACCGAACTTCGCCTTCAACCGCTGCCATCTCTGTCATCAGGTCTTCATCACTTCCCTAGCTAGCTAGCTTCTGGCATTATATGGATGGGTTTTTCTTTTCCTTTCTTTTTCTTCATCTTTAAATTGGGTTCTTGAATTTGTGTTACTTACTCGGATAAAAAAAGCTGATAGATTAATGAAAGGTTTAATCTTTGATCTGAATCTTTAATTTATGATCTTAAACGCGTGACTCATAGAAATTTGGATTACATTTTAATGAATATGGGATTTTAATGATAAACTGTTTTGTCATGCCGATTGTGCTTACAAGCAGGTAAACATGCAGTATAAACATTAAAAAACATTTCTTAAATTGGTTATCTGTGTTTTTTTAACAAAAACTTTAAAATGCCTTTTGTACGTTTCTGGGTTCCCTTTTTTATTTGGTTTTCTAGTTGAGAATAAAGGGAGTTTTGGATTTTGCAGAGTGGGGTGGCAGTGGAGAGGAAGAAGAAGAGGAGTTCATCATTATCATCAAAAGGAGTGGTAGAGTATGACTTTTTCCCAGAGAAAAGCAGGAGTTTGTATGATGATGATGATGATATGGTGATGATGATGAGCATGATGAGTGCTCCTACTCCTACTACTACTAGACCTTCATCTTCAGATGTGGCAGCCATGGCCTCTACTAGTGATGGATCTTCCTCATCCACCACAGTTGACCTGTCCCTTAGGCTTTCTTACTAGCTAGCTAGCAGATGATCAGATCAGATACAGCAAAACAAAAACAGAAAATTAATTAAGTGGACTCAGCTCAGCTCGCTGTTTTTTGTCTTTTCACATTTTGGTGAAATGGAGCAATTCAAGAACCCCAAACACTGCTTTTTTCTTTCCCTTTTTTTGTGCATCCACTATCACTCGCCAAGATGGAGCAATACAGTTTCTGGGTTTTTAGCCTCAAGTCTGGGTTTCTATCTCTGTTGCGTAAACATTTGTGTCAGTGAGATGCTTTAATTTGTTATAGATTTCCAGCTTTAGTTTTGTGATTTTATAATTATATACTACGGAGTATGTATTAGTCTCTTTGTTTTTATTCAGTTTGAAATTTAGTTAATACGGAATAGGACCGGATCCAATCCTCATATATAGTCATAAATCTAGCTAGCCCTAGCTTTTGTTCGATCTAAAAATCTGAGTACCTAGCTAGACCCACGGTTAAATATCGGTCAGTCTATTTGGCTCTAGGTCTAACTTATTTCATCACCTTATTCTTAAAAACAGCATTTAATCAATGATATTCTATTAATATTTTAAATAGTCTTACAATAAAATAATACTCTTATTCACAAAAAAACACTAATCTCTTTACTTAGATTATATTTTGTTTATAATTTATGAGCTACTCCGTATATATTTATACTATGTATTATTGTACGATCAAAATATTATGTATCCATTAATAAATATTATTAAAAGTAATAAAAAATAAAAGTCCAATAAAAATGAAAACAACTTTGATTGGTGTACAAATAAGTTGTACGGAGTACAGACTTTGTATAGACTGTAACACCGCCCCCGAGTATTTGTACTGTACCAAATCATGTATTGAATCCTGAGATATGTATAAAAGCGTTTTTACGTGATTGTAAATTTTTATCGTTTCTTTTACGTGAATAGAAAAATTCACGTGGGGCCCACACCGGAGGTGGGGGCCGCCCGATATTATCGGGGCCACATATTATATTGATCTTGGACTAGATAATATGTATATGGTGGTGGATATCCTAATTGAGCCATGGCAATGGCATAGGGTTGACCGGTTGGTCAAACGGGGCCAAATTATCAGTATCGGCAATTTATTAGATAATAGCCCGAAAAGGAATTTTGGAGACTTCTAAATTAAAGTTGAGGAATGCATATTGATTCTAAGGTCCAATAAGGATTGGGAACAAGTATTATATTTTATTTGACCCGATAAAATAAAATATACTTAAAACAGTTCGGAAAATACAACTTTCGGGACCGATTGTACACGTGGGAACATAAAGGGATGACCTCCCACATGGGTGGGGGCCACCCCGCGTTTTTTCCAGACTTGGTTGGTTAGAGGAGTGTGCAAATACTGACTTTGGATGAGAGAGCCGAGCTAGGGGGGAGGTTGAGACAAGAATTGACTCCAAGAGGACCCCCCACCCCTCATCATGGTCTAATGAGCCCAAAATAGACTCCCATCACCCCTTACAGCCATTCATTCGGTTTTGGCATCAACTGAGGTGAGATAAGCTCTGCAACCACCTTATTCTTCACCCATTTTCGCACCAAGGCTAAGGAAGAAGAAGGGGAGGAATAGAGAAGAGAAAAGAGGAAGCTAGAGAGCAAAACTTGAGATTTTCAAGGTAAGGACTTCATTAATCCCATTCCTTTTCTTAAACTATCTTATATGATTATTCAATCATATTTCACACCCTAGGATTGTTCTACACATTGGGATGTGTAGAAAGAGGGGTTGGAAGGTGGTTCTAAGTCCAAGAACGGACTTAGAAGCCAAAGTGACCGGTTCACCGGAAAATAACCTTTTTGAGGTTATTTGTATTACTATGGGTTTTATGATGATAAAACCTTGTTAGTAACTTGTCTAAGGTATTCAAGGAACTTTCACGGAGTTGAAAAGGTCGCCGGAGTTGTCGCCGGAGTTCGTTGAAGTTCGCCGGAGTTTCGTCGGAGCTAAATCGGGGAGGCTAGAACTTCATAAGCTTCATTAAGGTGAGAAGACGGCTTTATGCTTTATAACTTTTGCGTGAGGCATGAGATTACCTAAAGTAATCAAGGATATGTTTTGTGGAATGATTAAAGATAATCAAGTATTTGCTTATGCCATGATTTTGCATGAAACATAGTTGGAAAAGCATGTTATGTAGGTTTGGTGAGTAAAAAAATGTGATAACATTATTTGTGTGATGATCCAGGGATCCAAAATGGTATTTTTGGATCAAGGACATCAAGAAGTATATGTGTGTAAAATTTCAAGTTAATCGGACTCCGTTTGGGTGGTCAAACGGGCGTTGACCACTAAGTCAACTGCCATACCCGATCGGGTATTGACACATACCTGACCGGGTATTTGTTGAAAATCAGCTTTGTGGACTACTGTCTCCTGTACTCGACCGAGTATGGGTTAATACTCGATCGAGTATTGGGTTATGCTCAAAACGGGCAGTTTTGAGCGGGTTAATGTGGGCCGTTCAGATGGGACCCGCCCACGTTGGATCCTAAGGATTTGTTATATGACTATAGGGCTAGGCATTGTCCATAGTTAAAGGAATGAAAGGTTAGCCATATCCAGGTCAGGATTTGGTAGAGAATAGACTGGGGATCGAGTACCCTTGGACGGTAAATGATCCAGAATACTCCAGGTGGGGTCGAGTACCCTTGGACGGTAAATGATCCAGAATACTCCAGGTGGGGCCGAGTACCCTTGGACGGTAAATGATCCAGAATACTCCAGGTGGGGTCGAGTACCCTTGGACGGTAAATGATCCAGAATACTCCAGGTGGGGCCGAGTACCCTTGGACGGTAAATGATCTTAAATACTCCAGGATGGGTTGAGTGCCTTGGACGGTAAATGATCCTAAAACACTCGATAGTATGAATCAAAGTTAGACTATAGCTTGTGAGCTAGGTAACCGGGAAAGGAGTGAGAAAAGTCAGGTAAGAACTTTATCTCTAAAAGACTCTTTAAAGTAAATGACCTACGGGTTGAGTATTTTACGAATATATATACAGTATGTATCATCGGGTGGATGAGGGACATCTATATGTATATATCACCCTATTTTTGGGTCTCGTGTCTGAAACATTAGTTATTCTTCATATAGCCTGCTTGTCACTAGTACTTCTATGGAGTACTGACCCCTCCGGGGCCCTCACATTTTTCAGGTTGAGGCTAGAGTCCTACTACCTGCACCTTTGCCTAGGGTGACTGATCGAGAAGGAAGACGTGGTTCGTGCTTCCATTCTTATTTCAAATGTATAAACCGCTCATGGATTTTTGAACAATATTTTCATTAAAACAATTGGGGGCCTGCGTGCCCGTGTTTGCCACGTGTGGCTAAGTATCAAACATTTTATTATTCCGCATTTGTTTGATTATGATATTGATGTTGATTGTATGTGTTTACTAATCGGTTTGGCAATAGAATCGATCGGACGCCTTGTACAATCCAATAGGGGTGAACTGTTGTTGTTCCTATCGGGTTGTACGGCGATTGTCTACGTGGCTCGGATGCGGTCCGGGGCGTGACATAGACCCTCTTAAATCTTAATTGTATGTGTACAAAGACAACTAAGGGTGTAAAAAAATGTGTACAATTTATGCATCATTTGAAAAAATAATCACGCTCACCCCATTTTTACTGGCCCCAAATTAGGAGGGAAACCATCACTACAACATTTTGGATCTATTACTACGCTATAAAAACGTTGCATAATAGTAAGAAACCGTAGTCAATGTTTTTTTGCAACAATGTCAAAAACAATGTAAGCGTTGCTTATATGTTTGGAAATGGTTTTTGAAATTTAAAGGCGACACAATAAGAAATTGTTTTATATATTTGGAAATGGTTTTTGAAATTTAAAGGAGACACAATATGAAACTTTTTTAAGCTGGGTGTGAAATTAAATATAAAACAATTTTTAGGGTGTGAAATATATATAGAACAATTTTTTAAGTAGATAAGACAACAATTTTAAGTTGTTTTTGCTTTTTAGTTTTTATCAATAGTAACAAAAAATAAATTGTTGCCATATATGTTAGATATGCATTTTTTAACTATTGCTGCTAAGCAAATGACAATTTTTAGTCTCCTTGTATTTCTTTAGTTTGAAATTTAGTTAATATTTCCTCCGTTCTCTAATACTTGGTCCTCTTTCTATAAAGGGATGTTCTATATTAGTTGTCTTCCTTTCCAATTTTGGTAAGTTTTTTCAATGAATATACTCATTTACCTTCATTCTCTTTCCTACTTTTTCATTCTCTTTCATACTTTTACCTTTACACACAACTCACTACACCTTTTATCTTACCCCTATTAATTCCTTCTTAAATCTTGTGCCAAATGCTATACTCCCATCTATTAGAGAACGGAGGGAGGAGTATATATGGAGTATGTATGTATGTATGACCATGGAGCAAGACCAGATCCAATCCTCATATATATGTAATCTAGCTAGCCCTAGCTTTTGTTTGATCTAAAAATCCAAGTACCAAGACCCGATTTCATTCTAGTCCAACGGCTACAAATTAATATCGGTCAGTCGATTTGGCTCTAGGTCTAACTTATTTCATCACTTAAAAATTAAAAAGCATTTAATTTAATCAATGATAATCTATTTATATTTTTAATAGTCTTACACTCTTACAATAAAATAATACTAGTACTATCTTATTGACTAAAATTAAAACACGAATCACTTCACTTAAATTATTTTTGTTTATAATTTATGAGCTGCTCTGTATAAATTTATATTATTGTACGATCAAAATATTATGAACTCATTAATAAATATTATTAGAAGTAATTAATAAAAAAAAGTCCAATAAAACTGAAAGGGGAATATATACCTACCATAGTCCATACGTGCCCTAGTTGAGCTTGAAATCAGGAGCACAAGCGGAGGTACACAAAATGTGTACAATTTATGTTTATATACGAATATTTCCATTTAAAAAAATCATCACTACAACATTTTGGATCCATTATTACGTTAAAGGAAACGTAATAAGAAATTATTTTAAGCCGGGTGCGAAATATAGAACAATTTTTAGGTGGTGAAATTAATTAAAGAACTATTTTTATTAGTAGATAAGACAACAATTTTTAAGCCGGGTGCGAAATATAGAACATTTTTTATGAAAAGTAATGAAAACGAAATTGTTGCCATATATGTTAGATACATTTTAAACAATCGCTGCTAAGCAAATGGCAACATTTATAAAAATTGCACTTGTTTAAATAACATTCAATTGAAAGAGTAATAGGAATATCTTATCAAAATAGGACTCAAAGCTGGTCAGTTTGTACAAATATGACCAAAAAATATAATATGTTTCATAGGATTAATTATGTGTGTGTTGGACAAATATATCCTTGTAGCTATTGAAATATTTTATTTCATAATAAAATAATAAAAATAATAATACTTCATAAAAAATACTAAAAAATTAATAAAAATAATTATTAAAAAAATAGGTATTATTTTTACAAATTTATATTAATTAAAATATTTAATTGTGACTTTTGACTACATTTTATTCATATTTAAAGGATGAGTAAGGATGGAATGAAAAAATAGGTATATTTTAATAAGACTAATATGGTGGGTCTTTTCTTATATTATGGGAAAAGCTAACATGTAAAGCAAAATAAAGGGATTCTTGTGTGGGAGATTCCACCTTTTTGGACCGAATGAGGGATTCGGAAATGGCAATTCGGAATGGAAGATGGGCAGGGTTGTTGGGTGTGAGGGGTAGGGGCAAGGTGAATGTAAAATCCCATTTTTCTTTTAAATAATGTAACTTTTTTATATGTATTCTAAATTTTATAAAAAATATACCAAAATTCATAATTTTT